GTGTGTGTGTGTGTGTGTGTGTGTGTGCGTGCGCGTGCGTGCGTGCGCGCGCGCCGCCGATTGAATTTCTCGACCCAGATGCTCAATTTTCGCGGTGAAACCTTTCGTATGGTCCAAGTGCTCTTTAGCTACGTTTGAACGGTATATCGAATTCGACTCCGGGATTCGGATCGAATGAGCGGATTAAAATGTTACACGGACAATCTGTTCGATTTAATTCGCTAATTCGATTATTCCCGGAGTCCTCCGGTTACTCTCATAAATTATGGAGTAATGCTGCATCGATAATTCGTCCGTGCGCTACTATCAAATTACTTATTTCGGTAATGCAGCTGCGGCGATCGATAGTGTTAGGCCCGAGGTGACTAGCTGTCCGATCCGACATTGTCAATCATCATTAATCTTGATCGGGATAACGTCCATTTTGGATCAAAGCCACATCATCGTGACCCGTAAAATTTCTTGATGGTCGTCTTAATACGAATTTTACGAGCTAATCCTTTTTAAAATATTACGTAATGTTAATTAGCTCGGGATTTAAAGTGACACTAATCGTAAAAGAAATATTTTGCCAAAATAATTTTCGGAACTCTATACGTATTCCGACGAAAAGGAATATTTCTGGCACAACTTACCAGTCTGCTTCTCGGCAACTTTGAGCGTGAAACCTTCGAGCAATGCGGGATCGCTTCTTCCCCTGGCGTTTACCGCGTACAGGATCATATTCAGTACTCTGCCCGGCTCCAAGCCCTGCACGGTGAAAGCCGCATTCTCTCTGGACGTGACGTTAGCCTGCAGGATCCCCGTGTGCTGATCGAACACTTCAAGGAGGAAGTGTTGCGGCTGACCACCGTCAAAACCAGCGGTGCATTCCACCGAGAGTGATTCGGTGGTCTGGTTGGTCAGCGTACAGTTGTACGGAGCTTCCGGTTTGCCTGCACGGGCCATTAACATTGTTTACAATTCCCCTTCCCTCTCTCTCAAGCTCAATGAAAATTATTTGCGAGATACTGATTTAGTGTAACAGACAACGCTGTTCCGGCGCGGCGCGTTACGAAACGCTCGGCATGCAGATTCGCGGAACGCTTTCCGGAACTTTTCCCGGAAATCCTTAGCGACTCGGAGAGGAGGAGTCGGAGTAGCATTACCGGTATATGTCGCGTGCGTACATACCCGCAGGAATGATGTGAAATATGCAGGCATTCTTCTGCTGGCCGGCCGTGTTGCTCGCCCAGCAGAGCACGGTGCCGTAGTCCATTTCCGAGACCGGCCGGTATGTGAGGACGCTCTCGGAATGTCTCGTCTCGTTCTTGTAACGCGCATGCGGCACGTCGACCATCTCCTCGGTATTGTTAAAGGTCCAGCGGAAGCTCTCCGGCGGCGGATACGCCTCGACCCTGCATTTCACCCGAGCGTCCTCGTGCCTCGCCACCCCGTAGATTCGCTTCTGATCCGGCACACAGATCGGCTTGTCTGGAAAAAGAACGGGCGAGCGACTTTATCGAATCAACCTCAGCTCCAGGTGGATGATTTCCTATCAAAACAAAACTTTGAGAGACTATAAATGTATCCAGCGTAAACTTACTTCAGTTTTATTTATTCTTCTAGTTTAGTCACTTGTTTACATGGGTATCGAGATAGTCCTACGTCTTTTTTGTATTTTGTTAAACAATATTCTAATATCCTAATATCAAATTTAAAACATTTTTAATAACACAATTTAAAATTTATTAAAAGGAGATATATTTTTAAAAATCAAATTTGATAAGACGTCATCGATTAGTTTTGTTTGATAATTAGTAATAACGAAGGATAGCTCAGCTTGATGTCATAATCAATATTATTGATTTATTATTATATTGACTATAAAACCTTTTCTAAAAAATATATTTTAGAACAAAAATTGCGAAAAGTTTAGCGAAAGGTTTCTTTTTCATGTATAAATTAATGTGCAGAACTTGTTTTAGTCAATCTATTATTAAAGTTTAAATCAACTTAAAAACCAATCTTTTTAGATAATAAAAAACCAATCTTGAAATCAATCTTCAGAATAAATCTTCAAAATTAATTTTAATTATTACAACAGTAATTTTTAAATGTAATTTTAAATCAATTAAAAAAAATATCCAAAGATAAGTTTAGTTTTAATCCGAATTTTGAAAGAAAATTGAAATCTAATTCTTCAATTTCTTTGATTTAATTAATCTTATCATTTTCAACTTTAAATTACATAAAATGGACTAAAAAAAGACGACTGATAGAACTTAAATTAAATTAAAAAGCTTTGCAAATTAAACAAGCTCTAATTTCATCATTCCATAATTTCGATATTCCTATTTTTATCTTCCAAAAATATAAGAGATCTAAAATAAGTCCAAAAATTATTTCGTAATTCGAAAAAAAGTATCTTCAAAAAAGTATCCAATTATCTAAATTAAAATCCCTATTAAATTTGATATTAAATTTCCTAATTATCAAATGATAAATAAAATCAATCCGTGATATATAATATTAAAAAAATTCGGTTAATTAATTCATTTTTTTTCGAATATGTTATTTTTTTATTATATTGACGGATAAATTAAATAGTTTGGTTTGCAATAATTTTGGTCGATTTTATATTTCAACTTTAATATTTGTAGTTTTAATCAATATTCGAAATCCGAGAAACTAAATATATGGCCAACGAATAATCTCGGAGATATAAAAATTTTCTACTGATAAATCAAAACAGTCGGCTCTTACAGTGTATACAATGGACAGAGAGAACCGCAGCATACGATATGGAGATCGAGAACCGAGGAGTTACGCGCATTTATTAAAAATGCGAGGGATGAGGCACGAAGCGGGATGACCACCACCCGGCTTTTCGAGGGAAGATCGATGGGCATTATTCGCTCGCTCGCTTGAATAGTTTCCCCATTTTTCGCGGCGGAGTGAGTAAACGAAGGTCGAACGGGAGGTATGAGGGAATCCGAGTTTGCCGGTTCGGAATAATTTGTTGGTTCGCTGCGGATCGTGCTATTTTTCTTCCGCTACCCCCCTCGCCCATCGTTCAACCCCCTACCCCCCCTTTCAACGTGTTTTTAATGAATAATCATGCCGACATCTTGATATTTGACGTTTATTCACGAATAATATTTCCGAAGCCTCGTAAGCCCAATGACCAATTACGAGGCTAGACTTTCGCGATTCCTCCCCAAAGCCACCTCGAAGGCGCTTAATAATATCCCTATTTAAATGTCACTCATCGGTTACGTTGCCCTGTCGTTTACATCGTATTACGTTGAAATATTTGCGACTTTGAGCACCGCTTTGACGGGGAAAATAATTACGGGGATTTCGGGCGGAGAGCGGAGTAATCGAGGCTGACTTTATAAGGAACGAGCGAAGAGGCAGAAATGTTATTTTCGGCAAAGGAGGTCGAGCAAAGGTGTCGAGAAAAGATTTAGAGTCGCTCGAAACGAGATTCCCTTTTTCGTATAAATGACGCAACGGAATTGCATCGGCATTGCATTTTTATCTGCGTTTTTATAGTACGACGGGTATTTTATATACGATCAATGACGGCACACACGGGATACTCACACATGATCTTAAGCTCGACGACATTGCTGTAGCCGTCGCCTTCGACATTGCTGGCGACGCAGGTGTAATTTCCGGCCTGGGACCGATTCACCTCTCTGAGAGCCAAACCATATTGCTGGACTATGATGCCGTTCTTCGCGTTATTCGTAATCACGTTGCCCTGGAACAACGGTGCATCCGCGATTAGATCGAAGTGCACAATCGCCATCTCTCGTCTCCTATTGTATCTTATTGTTTTCAATATACATGATAATGTCATCACTGGTCGCGCCATCAAAAGTTTGGGATATTTATAGCCTTATTCGTAGGTGCACATACGAATATGTATACATACCGGGACTGAAACGGGGTGATTTAATTAATCGATGCTGAAATTTATCGGAACAAAGAGACGGAATGTGATTACAATTAGTTTTCACAGGACACACAGAATGATTTATATAACCTTTGTCGAAGTAAAATTTACATTCAAGGTGAAAATAGTCCCGGCGATAGATGGGTTTTACTCGGGACAACGGGGATGGGATTCTACTTAATTAAATGGGGTTTTATTAATATCGAGTTAATTAACTGCTACGCCAACGACGACGTTGGTAAAGCTGGACATTTCGCGTATTTACAAAGCATTTATGGACACCGTACCATAATATAACATACTATGTTAAACAATACATAATGACATCAGCGTGGAGGTAGAAAGGATGCGAAACGTGAATAGACATTGTCGGCGAAAAGCGGGCAGAAGCGACGCGTAATGAGATCTGCGAATAACGTCGACGTAAAAACGACGTCAGCGAAGCGAAGGAATATTATACCAGTATACCGTTTAGTATACTTGGTTATAGTATACCTTCGGAGTTTTTGAGTAACATTGAAGATCAAGTCTTTATAAAAGCAAAGAAAAACTGCAGTATGTGTACATTTAAGCTAAAAATTTATTAAAATAAAATTATTATGTGTGTATTCTATTCAGGAAAAAAAATCATAATTATAACTTTTAGTAAACTTTAGTAATATAATAATAGTAAAACGCTAAATGCTAAAATAGCTTACAGACACCTACAAACAAATGGAAATTTAATTAAGACAGAGAATAAAATATTTTAGATATATTTAATATTGTATTGTAAGAATATTCTTTTATGTTGTAATTATTGCCATGTTTGCGTAATGGTGAATGTTACGGCTCGCGAGTTGAGTAATATTTAGAAAAGTAGGGAAAGGTTTTAGGTATGCAGAAAGTTTGTTTCCTATTTGTCGATTTGGCTGCAATAGCCATTATTCGGAGCCAACAGTTTTAGGAACTATTCAAGCGTAAATATATCACTCGGAAGAATCCAGAGGTCATTGTTCAAACCTGAGTTTTTTCCCAATTCGAGTAATGCAGTTTTATTCGATGATTTTATCCCGCACAAAGTTGCGGTATCGGCTTTTCCATATTGCCATGCTTAAAATTTTTAATGGCATGTACAGTTATTTACAACAGAAAGCTCTCTCGTGTTTCTTACTTTGCATTATTTTATATTTGTCTTTCACTATCACTCAATATTCTTCACTTACATTATGTTTCCACACGACTTTGTAGGCATCCGGATTCGCGTGAACTTTGCATTCGAAGTATACATCATCACCTTCCTCGATGTCATCGGGATTCATATTTGAACCGAGCTGCAGGCGCAAAATTGGAACAACTGTAAGAAAAAGATGCGATCGTTTCATAAATTTTATTCAAATCGGCGTTTTGAGACAAATTTTCAAAATAAACAACTAGCATCAATTACTCACTAATCTATAAAAAAATTTTTTTTCTAACGGGATTAAATGTTTCGTAGATTTTTGGATGCCAAAAGCGAAATCTGATTTTAAAATATAAGCTTTAATGTGCTTTCTAATTTGTTATTTTTTAAATCCTAATGTGATATAAAAATTTGATGGTTAGATTTGTGTTTTTGTTTTTTAATATTCAAAACACGGAAAATTCAGTTAATAAAAAAAATTATTAGAAACTAGCATTAGTAAAAAAGTTTTAGTTTCTTCTATATTGCATTGGGTGCACAATTTTAGAGATTATTGAAACAATTTGTTAATTGTTTAAGGATCCGTTACTTACGGAAAAAAAAAATCTATATTACATACGTAAATCAACATCTTTTCTCATTTTAATTGAATAAAACATGCAAGAATCAGGCAAGTTCGGTTTTTCCAAAAAAATTACAGCAAGAATGCATTCGGTAAAAAAAAAAAAAATGATAAAATAAAGGTCCTTTGCAAATGTTAAAATTAGACTCATCTAATTCAATTACTTTCTTCGTCGTCATTACTAGAGCGTGACAAAGGTATCTTTATTCAATGCTTTATTCAATGCTCCAATTCGCGAAATTGAATTCCTGGGCGAGTTATAACGTAATATAACCATCTTTTATGGAGATCCAACACTCATTCATCGAAACAGCGAAACAGTGGACTTGTCCCGCGTTGAGCTTTCAAATTTGCGAGCGTCGAGATGTCGCGGCAGGCAAATAAATCGGGTCGCGCTGGTCAGCCGCCGCCGTGCCGTGCCGGACGTTCCATTTTGGCCCCGTCGTTGACGTCTCGTTATTGTGATTACATTCGCGTTTGCGCGAACGTAATCTATATCGACGGCCTTGTTTCGGCATGCCAGGCTTTTAACCCGTTTACCCGTGCTCGATATACATACGGATGGCGTATTGCCGGGCACACGGTCGCCCGGCCGTACCGTTATGTACACGCGTGCACGCGTGTGACGTATGCCGTGCACGCGGATTTTCCCATGTGTCGATTCCATGAAGAGTCGACACGCGCGCGCGCGCGATGCTCGCTTATGAGTTTACGGATCCGATGAATCACTGCCAATTTGTTTTTACATGTGATGATGCGCGCGTTTAACATACGACAAACGGATTTAAATCTTCGAAATATTTGCGTATTCCTCGCGGCCACTCTCTCAAATGTATTATGTCTCACGCAAAAAGATTGCGGAAAAATGTTCGCAGCGAGGCCGATAAAACGAAATTTCTCGGATATAAAGGAATATTTGTACTATAATTTTATTCCAGATAGACTTGATATTTTTACTTTCGCAGTACTTTCGTATAAAAATAAAAGACGAGCGCTACATATACATATACTTATATATCTATTTCTATCGTTTGTTATACGCTGAGACTATGTCTCTTTATTCATTTTTCATCGCGCGGTAAGCGTAAAAAGGAGAAATAGTCAGTTGTGCGTTATTATCCTTTAATATGGATCGAGCCCTGTTCGCTCGCATAATATCGATGATGGTGTGTTAATGAATAATGATATCAGTGATAATAATGCTGGTTCTGCAGAGCATATCGTGTTGCCATTACTAGTATGTAAACTCCGTGGTCTACCTCAGCCATCGGTTTGTGATCCGATATTATCCTCCATCCAATTTTTTTATTATGCTGCGTACACCGATATCATATACGCAGTAGATCATAATTATTTCGATTATGCATACGATAGCATGCACATGTTCTCGGAATAATATCCAACAAAACAAATTACATTATTATTACGTGTTACATATATATATTTAAGACAAAATATATCGTTTCGATAATTTATACCATCGCCGAATATAATTTTTCTATCGAGCGAATCAAATTCTAAGGATAACGCAAAAAAATCTTTAGTTCTCAGTGAACGTTTTTTTGCAACCTTCTTATTATAGTGTATGTCAATGAGAGAGAAAGTCTACTTACAAAAAACGTTCAGTTTCCACGTATCCTCTGCTATACCAAGGTGGATTTTGGAATTTTCAGCTCTGCATGTGATAACTTTTTCGTGATGTGATAGAGTGGGCTGAAACGTCAAGATGGAACTCGTCATATTCCCATCCTGCGACACCTGCAACAATCGAATATAGCAATATTCGTTTTATTGACTGTTTTATCATTGATTAAAGAATAAAATATTTTGTGCTTGTATACCGCCATATTAAAAAAAAAATAATGTATATGTAATAATTTAACTTTATTCCGATTTTACAAAGTTAAAAATATTTAAACTTTAACGTTTATTTTCTCAAAATTATTTAATTGTTAACAGATTTTTTTATTTAATATAGTATTTTCAGTTTCATTTCAAATTGAAATCATATTAAGATAAATTCAACGTATTATGTTAAAGCTATTTTTTTTAGAGATTTTAATAATCTGGAAAATTATTTGAATTATCTTTATATTAAATTTATGAAAAATTAGTCTCCTATCGATACGGAAGTCATAATTATACATTATATATTTTAATGGACCTTATGTAGTATTCGTTAATTGCTTTCCCGATATTTTTTGCTATAGCATGCCTATTAAAGTACGCAAATATGAGTAATTAAATCATGTATACTGTAATATTGGCTAATGCTTAATATCAAAATATCCGTTCGTTAATCGAAATAACAATAAATGAACGATCTGCAGCAACAGCGGGTTCATCTCATTGTCGATTATGACACTGCATCAACATTTTATTTAATATTTCGCACATACCGTTACGAGAATTAATTTGCAGGCGCTTCATTAAAGTTACGTTGCTAATTAGTGTCGAAACCAGGTATTGCATATGATAAATTTAGAAACGTGATGCGTACATTTTAACGCGGCCGCGAGGAAGAAAAAAATAATCGTATCGCGGCGCATTAAGATAATCTATTGTAAATTGAATTGCCTCTTTGCAATTCCATAGATTATAGTAGTTCTAATTTTACTAAAACGGTAGTTTCGCGCCGCGGAAAGATAGTACCAGCCCTAGCAGGTATAATTATTCGTATTCGCGCGAGGCAGGGGGTGCGTTTGAGGTAAGGGTTTATAAGCCAAACGTTAATCCGGCGATAAGTCTTAATGACCGGACGAGTCAGTCCAGAAGGCGTTTATCACCCACCTTTGCAGGTGGTGTAATAAGATCTGGCTTTCACGTGAGTATTTCACCGTTACCGCGAGCGCAACTTTAACGTGCACGAAACCGGCTACTGTATTTACGCAAATGTACGCGAAGTAGGTGTCTCGTCGGAAAACATGTAATTATCAAACATACTAT